TTCAAAGGAATGATGAGGCACTCCGGAAAGGGACTGACTTGATATCTACTGGACAACAGAAAATGTCAAAATCCAAAATTGTAACCCACTTTTCAAAGCAGTTGCTTAGTGTGAAACTCCAGGAACATTGTACACACACGCACACACACCCACACACGTGCTCTTCACACACAGCAGCCACTGATTTTCCACGTGAGGGACACTGGGGGAGTCTGTTCTTGGCCAGCAATCCCGTCCCTCTACTAGCCCATTCCTTTTTCGATGAAGAAGGCATCAGAGAATGACTCAGAGGCTTATTCCTAGTTCCAAATATATTCTTATATATGGATGCACACACACACAATTTTCAAAATGCAGCAAGGCAAGGAACATTAAAACAACCTGCGTCAGAAGCTTTTATTCAAATTCATTTCCCCATCAGCAACACTGAGCCATTTTTACTATTAAAATTCCAAAAAAGGCCCTGCAAAATAGGAGCTTCTCCAGCTGCTAGTGGGGATGACAAGGTCGGCCGTTTACTGAGGGAGACTAGGTTACAATCCTGCCTTTTACCGGGGGTGAGGGGCGACGGATGGACGGAGAATGCATAAAGCTCTGTCTATGAGGAACTGTTGACTGAGGAGAAAGATTTCGAAAACTTACCATCTCCTGGAGGAAATGAATCAGAAAAAAAAATTCATGTGAATCCATTCCTGCTATAGGCAAAGTGAGAGCTCCTCGCCTCTGGTTTCCATGCGGACTAGAGGATACAGGCAAGGGGTGCCGGGTGGGCTCCTCTGAGGCGTCTCCTCCCTCCCTCTCAGAGCCTCTGCCTCAGGGAAAGAAAAGGGCCACAGAAACCCAGGTACAGCGGGGCCGCCAAGCTGCTTGTGGCAGCTCCCCACTCCTTCCACTTTTCAGGACAGGCACGGTGGTCTTTTGTTGTTCTTGCAATGTAGCCTCTGATCACTTTAGAGAAACAGAAGACCATAAACAGGCTGGCTTGAACAGGAGAGAGAAAATGACTTAAAACAGTTAATACAAATAATTAAATGTCAATTACTTTTTTGAAATTAAATGGGTAGGTTGAAATATTCACTTAACCATTTGGTAGGCACTGGTTGTTGCAAATTAATGAAATATGTGTGGTAACTGAATCTCAGTAAGGGGGTTTCCAAGTGTCAAAATTATAAACAAACTCCAATAAGAAATAATGGGATAGTCAATTCCCTTTGCAATAGTCAATCATATTTACCAATCACTTGTTACAGGTTTTTAGGGGTTACTTTTGTGTCCTAATTTTAGCTTTAGTTTCAGGGAATGTTTGATCTTTGCGAACATGTAACATCTAAATATGGAGACTGCCTATACTGTTAAGAAGATTCAAAATGTACAGTTACATAAGCTGGTAATTTCCTCACGAAGGAGGTTACAAAGCGGGGTTCCCTCAGTGACTTTTACTGTTTTTACTTCAATTTCTTTAATTCCTTTAGAATGGGGTAACATTTTCTCTTTCAGGAACAAATGCACTGTAATAAAGATTATTCACGTACTCCTAAAATACTTAACGAACACCCGGGTATATACAAAAATCATTAGGTGCTCAACACCGGTCTATCTTGAGGTCTTTGTAAGACTCAATGTGCACCCATGTGATACCACTCCAAAGAATGTACACTGCTGTATGTACAGCAATTATAGGTATTCTATGGTATATATACATACTATTTTATCATACACCTGAATGTGTCACAAACACATTCAACTGTTCTCGAACACAGAAAGTTACAACGATCTGGGTCAATTTTCTTAAAGTCTTAACAGCAGCTACTGTCTACAGAGTTCAAAGTGCCATTGTGTGCTAGTGTGCTCTGCACCATTTCCTTGAATCTCACGCCCACCTCGGAGGTGGGCATCCTCTGCATCTCAGAAGACGAGGACTGTGAGGTCAAGAAACCAAAGTTCCCAATACCTGAACAGTATTAGAACTGGGATGTGAATTCAGGACTATTTTTCTACAAAGCCTATAAAGTCTATTCTCTGTCATGTTCCAACAGTGGATACTTTATGAATTCTACTATAATTAAGCCTCATTTACATGGCACTATGAAAAGTTCACCAGCTTCAACAACTATGAGATAAAATCACAACTTTCTTGCCAACTCAGAGTCATCAATGTGAACAGCAGCCATGGCTCTGGGCTGTGCTGTTTTCCCTAAAGCAGGCGAGGGCTGCTCCTTCCTGCACGCACGGCCTGATGAGTATGTTTTCCATCATGTAGTTTTTCAGCCATTTCTTTCACTGTCGCTTTTTCCTGCTGTGCATGTGCTTATAATTTGCTGAGGCCTAATAAACTAAATAACCAAAGGCACTGGAATGGAAGCTAGGGCAGTGGTTCTTAAAGGTCAGGGAGCAGAACGCTCTTGGTGAGAATGCTTAAGGGCAGTACCCTGGGACCTGCTCCCCAATGCTCCAATTAGCCCCTGTGCGTAAAGAACAAAAGCTTTGTGGCTGCGAAACCTCATTCTCTAGGGAGTGTCCATTTCCATCAGCTTTGAGATTTTGGTGTATGGCCTGGATAACTGAGATTATTGTAGATCTCTTTTTCTCTCTTTCTTTCTCTCTACCTACACCTTTTTGTCCACTCATCCTGCTATTTGGGGGCTAAACATATTTATAGTTTCAACAACTTACTGTATTTTTCTCCCCTTTACTGGATTTATTGAACAAAATGGCAACAGAAGAGTCCGCAAGTAGCACAAAAATGACGTTCCCTCACCCCCGAACCTTGTTTTAGTTTATCAAAGTGTCTTGAAGGGCAGCGTTATCTGGTCCTTGGAAACCTGAGTTTAAATCCTGGCACTGAATCTTGGTTATCTGACGGATAAACGCCCTAACAAATCTGAGCTACAATTTCTTGGCTTGTCTTTAAAATGTAGCTAATACCTACTTCTTAGGGCTGCTAGCAGCTTGAGGAAGAACGCACAGCAAACATTTGGTAAGCACTGAATAAGTGGGGAATTTTTAGATAAATTTAGTATGTATAGGACTTCCAGCTGTAATTATCCAACAGTTTTGTGACTCTTTGAGGGAACCAGAGTTCATATCCTAAGGCAATTTACAGAAACAAGCTCAATGACATGTCCTTTATAATTTCAGGTGATAAATAAAGTTCACAGATGTAGCAGATCATCCTTACTTCAGCTGCATCAAACAGACCTGGAAGTATCGATTTCTATGTCCCAACACAGGGAATGTGAAGAAACCAAGACCTTTCTATTTTAAATACCAGACACAAACGCCAGATATGTATAATGAAATAGTATTACCCTGGTGGAAGAAACAGGCATACTAACATGAAAAAACACATTTTATTGCACTTAAGTTATAAGAAAATAAAATTTCTAAGTGAATCAAACCATAGACACAATCCCTTTAAAGGTTGTTTTCCTCCATCATGTCAGGCTGTTACATAACTAAAATTAACCAACTGGAATCTGATTGTTTTAAATCAGACTATAAATAAAACAACAACAAAAAAAATAAACAGGAGGAGGAAGAAAGACCGCCTAGGATACAGTGTTAAACCACTTTCACAGTTCAGCTTGAGTTGTGGCTCCTGGAGAATGAGGCGAACCATCTGACTTTCCTTCACCACGCTGGCTTGCGTGTGATGCCTTCGCTACAGAGACTGAATCGCTCCTTTCTTGTCAGTTACTCAGAGCAAGGAAACTGTAACAGTTGTTTTCCCAAATACTGTAAAATGCTAAGACTGACCAGCAACTTTAATTCTGTGTCGTATATATTTTTAAAATATTTTGTCAGTTTTTATTATGTACGTTCATCCATTCACCACAGCCCTCAAAAAGAAAAGTTTCTCCACAGAACAGGCGGTAACAGCTCTGTTCCAAGGAATGTGTTTTAATTTTTTTGCCCAGATAAAAGAAAATAAGCTTTGCACACACTCTCGATTCTTTACTTGCAGGCAAACTTCACTCTTTATTATCTGAAACTCTTCCATTCTCAGCCTCTTAGAGGCACAGATGGTTCAAGTTTCAGTGGCAAAAAGTCTTTTTTCTGTAACCAAACTAGAGCAAATTTGGAATTCAGTCTGGGACTAAAACGTCACAGCAGAAAAAAAATAAAAAAAAATAATTTGCTTTTTTTCTTTCTTTCATTTAGCAGCATAAATAAGTTTGGCCACTGGGAGTACAGTACAGGGGTGGGCCAACAATCCCATATTTGAAGACCTACTTCTAGCACCAGCATCAAGAATTCAATCCATCTCAGGACTCACAGAACCCAGGCCAACTTGCCACCTTTGAGCAACATATGCACTGAAGAGTGTATATGGAAGCAATAGTAAATAGATTAACAGAGGCTAATACTGTGATTGATTGACATTGGCAATGGCTGGCAAAAAAAAGCTTTTCATGATAACTGTACAAAAACAATTCACAGTAATTTTTCCTGTTTTTTTAGCTTCTCTACTTCAGAAAAACGACTTTTTGTTGCAGATGCTCTCTAATTAGAAAGTCAACCAGTTTTGATATTATTGCAGCTCCTTTCTAGGTGACAGTGGTAAAAAGAACAGGCTAGCGGAATCTGTAATGATGTTTCAGCGTTAACACTGCCCAATGACCACTGAAGAAGAAAATAAAGAAATAATTGCACCTGGTTTGATTTAGAAAGTCTCATTTTGCAAAGCTGCCCTCAGTCAAAAGTAAAGCCTTTTAGGTGATGAGACAGCGGACCTCTCTTGTCAGTTGCGGTTTGTCATCTCTTCCTCTTTCCTTCTTAGTCTGTAGGTCTTTTCACTCTGTTGCCCCAAGCCAACATCCTGCACCACTGGGTACACGGGATTTTTTTTTTTTTCATTTTCTTTTCTTTTCTCTTTTTTCTGTTTTTTTTTCTTTTTTTT